AGTAATGAATTTCCAAATAAAACCCAGCAATACTAACCGTCAGGCTCTTTGCATTGTCACAGAGGGAAATTACTCTGCGAGAGAGTTACTTCCCTTGCATAATTAAATACGACGTTGAGCAACCAGAAGTTTTTAAGTTTTTTTTAATTGAAAAACTGATTAATTGTTCATCTTTGCTGTAGTTCAGTTATTTCCCCAAAATATTAAGTGGCCTTTATTTTATATGAAAATTTTAAAGTATAAATTTATATGCAGTTTTTGTTTTAATATTTATTTCTGATCAAACTGTTAATTCCCAAACTCTATTACATCAAAGTAAATGTTTTGAATATGATTGGATGAAATATTAATTTACTCCTAATATTTTGATTATGATTCAGTTATTTAACAAGGCCGATGTTTATAATATAAATATTATCCTTAAAATTAGTTTATTTTTAAATACATTGGTGATTACTTTTTATTAAGAATTATCCAATGATAAAGGCACTCATTGAAACAATTTGATTAAATGATTAATCACTGGAAAATTAGTGTAATTACCATGAATTATTTTATTATAGAAAGCTTGTTAAATTTATTAATCCACCCCACAAAAAAGTAAAAATAAAAACAGTATGTCAGTGTGACATACTGTCTCCGAATATACCTTACTTTTGACTATTACAGAAAAAGAGTTTAGTCTATGAATATATAAATGGTGTAAATATAACAAAATTGAATAATAATCATAAAATGCTCAGTGGAGACATTTTCATTTTTATAAAAAAATTTTTTTACTCATTATGAAATGAGCTGTTACCAGTTTAAGTCTGTCTGAAAGATGGCAAAAATATATCCCCATTCTTATCAATGCAACTATATTAAAAACAAATGTAATACTCTGATCATATTATGAAACAGTGTGATGATAAGAACAAAGATAAGGTCAATAGTCCAGGTGTAAATAATAACTTTCCATCCCTGAAATTCAGAAAGAGATTATGAATTTTGCCATGGATGCATTAGATCTTCTTTAACAAATGATAAAAATGTTCTGTTCTTAACCTGTTTATCATAATGCAATTGGTATCATGTTTTAGGTGTAGCAACTGGTTTTAAAAAGTTAAATCCTCACTGATAGATTTACTTTTACAGCATCACATGAGGTTAGAGGTTATTTAATTTATATATATATATATATATATATATATATAGAATTTTGTTTATCTGTTTATTTATCAAAAAGTATGTGATAAAAATAGTTGGAATTCATGTCTCACTAATTAGGAATTCAACCTATTACTTTTTTTCTTAAATAATTTTACAATTTAATTTTTTTCTTAAGACCTAAATTTGATTATATATATTTATCATTTTTTATATATATATATATATATATATATATATATATATATATATATATATATATATATATATATAAAATTTATACCAATAAATATATATTTGTTCCTTGTCATTTAGTGAAATTCAAAGTTGCACAAACAGCAAAAGAATAATATATATATATATATATATATATATATATATATATATACACACACACACATTTAAGTTAAAAAAAACTACTACCCATCAAAAGTGTGAATTTTCATTTCATCTTTCGTTTCATTTTTTGGAAGTGTTATCTGATGATCCAGCGTCCCTTAAAAAGGTTCTGGTGAAATAAATTATTATAATGGAACCTTAAAGTGGTCTGTTTTTCTTTATTTATATATATATATATTATAATATTTTTTTGTTTAAAAATATGATTCCTTTGCAGAATAAACCTAATACTAATCCCCTGTATGTACACCCTAAGTCAAACCACCCTTCATCTATAATTAAGCATATACCCACATCAAGCGAAGGAATCATATTTTTAAACAAAAAAAAATATTATAATATATTAAACAAAAACAAAAAATATTATAATATAAGATCTACTTCTGTATGGAGCACTGTCTTCTTAAAAATAAAAATACTAAGGAACTCTGGATTATGCACCAAACATGTTCTTTTCTATTTTCTGCATACTTTATATATATATATATATATATATATATATATATATATATATATATATATATATATATATATATATATATAAGGTACCACCACAGGTTTCCTAAAAAAATAAAATTTAAATATCTTCTTTGAAGTTAAATTTTGGTTTTATTTGAACAATAATGGTCTAAAGCTAATCTGTATTAAAAGAAAAAATAAATTCTGTTTGTAAATAAAGGTTTGAGGCATTTTTAAAACATTCACATGTGTACTAACCACATCACCATTATAGACAAAAAAAATGTAAGAATAAAAAATTAAAAAAAAAAAACCAAAAAAAACCCAATTTAAAAATCTCTTAAAGATCCGAGGGATATGTTAGTAAATTTGAGGATTAACTGGATTTAATGCTTACGTTTTGCTTAAAACATGATGAAAATAACATTTATTTACTCATGGTAGCCTGTGATATTATCGGTTAACAACTATAAAGATCTCATTCATAAAAAGTGCATGAAAAATTTAAAAAAGAAAGTTTTTAAAAAAAATATAGAACACCAGCAGTTCAATAATCAAGAAATTAGTATTTATATTTAAAATATATTTAACCTTATAGAACCAATTGTTTAAGTATATAATTTTTTAATTCTATTCAGTTTTATGAAACTTAATAGAATTAATATTATTTTATACTGCATTAGAAGTAGTTTTTTTTTCTTTTAATGATACTTTTAAGTTAAATGCATAACTTTTAATTTTTTATTTTACGTCTTTGATGACATAAAATATTAATTGCACCAATGCAATTTTTTTTAATTATTCTGAATTTAAGAGTTATTGAATTATCATATATCATCTAAATCTTCTCATAAGGAAAAATATTCAATGAAAGGCAGTAATTCATAATTATTTCCTTTTCGAACATTCAAACATTAAAAAAAAAAAAAAAATTGTTTTACAAAAGATTTGCATGAAAATGTAATGTCATTTACATTTTTCAATTCTTCAAATATGTCTTTAAAAAAAAAAAAAAAATACTCTTATGAACAGTAATGAGATAAATTTCAATGTTCACACTTGATATTGCCTGACTTTTTTAATAAAATAACATCTTTAGGGATTTTTCTTTGTATAAAATTGATTTCTCCTGCTATACTTTACCTTTACAAGATCCAGATCATGATCTTGTGATGGAGTACTACCATATATGGGCAGGAGCTGGTCAGCTTTCAATTTCCAGTCTCAATAGAATCTAAAAGTGTCTCCATGTCCTTGTGGGTAACATTATTTTCCACCTAACACCCCCTTCCTCACAGGTAAAACGTCACAGACCTATTTCTATGGAAAGTGTTCAGATGAACTACATTCATTAATTCGACCAGTTTTAACCTTCACGGCTAATAATTGCTATGTCATTCATACACATTTTAGTGAACCATCCTCATTCCCCTTGTATTTCATTGGTAACATGTAAGTTTCACTCAAGCAGTTGTGGAACCAACTCCCAAGAGTGTACTTCACCAATGACTACACTCTTAACTGGTTCAGGTCTAGGGTCAACTGTTATCTTCCCCACATATCTGCATAAAGTGTGCCTTTTACTCTGTATCCCTCTATCTCGAGTGGCTCTTGGGCCTTATACATGGTGAACATCATTATAAAAAATTTTAAAAAATGTAAAAGAATTTCACGAACATCCTCCCAAATTTAAAGGAAAACTGGAAAAGGTGGGTGAAACAACCTCACCCCACTCCAATATTTCCATCATGCTTTCTAATAAAAAAAAAAACAACCTATGATTCAGAATACAATTCATTCATTAATGAATAAGTATTGAAAAGTTTGTTTCAATTGGATAATTGAATTTTCAGATTTTTGGTTTCTTTCTTTTTTTTTCTTTTTCTTTTTTTTTTCTTCTTCTTTTTTTTTCTCTTTTTTGTTCTTCCTTTTTTTTTTTCCTTTTTTCTTTTCTTCCTTTTTTTTTTTTCTTCCTTTTTTTTCTTCCTTTTTTCTTCCTTTTTTTTTTTTTTCTTTTTTTTTTCTTCCTTTTTTTTCCTTTTTTTTCCTTTTTTTTTTTTTTTTTTCTTTTTTTTTTCTTCCTTTTTTTTCTTCCTTTTTTTTTTCTTCCTTTTTTTTTCTTCCTTTCCTTTTTTTTTTAATTTTTTTTTTCCTTTTTTTTCTTCCTTTTTTTTTTTCCTTTTTTTTTTTCTTTTTCTTTTTTTTTTTTTCTTTTTTTTCTTTTTTTTTCTTTTTTTTTTTTTTTTCTTTTTTTTTTTTTTTTTTTTTTTTTTTTTTTTTTTTTTTTTTGTCTTTCTTTTTTTCTTTTTGTCTTTTTTTTTTTTTTGTCTTTTCTTTTTTTTTTTCTCTTTGTTTTTTTTTGTTTTTTTTTTTCTTCTTTTTTTTTCATTTTTTTTTTTTTTCTTCATTTTCTTCTTTTTTTTCTTTTTTAAATGAGGTAGCGATTTTTTATTTTTATTTTGACATTCATTTCATTTTAACATTCATTTCTGAAAACAAACATCCTTTTCTCTATATGACATTGAGGATCTTTATCCAATTGCTTAAGAAAACTTGTATACAGTAGCTTGATCATAAATGCTAATTTTGGCATTTCAATTCCCGTATTCTCCATTGAATATAGTTTTTTTTGTTTTTTTTTTTTAAATTTAGTAACAATAACCTCGGATAATAATTGACATGCTTATTATTTAGTTTTTACTGGACACTAAATTTGATGAAATGTACTTTCGATTTATTATTAAAAATATTTTTTTATATTAAAATAGATTAATTTGTATTTTTTTAAGCTTATTTAAAGCCAGAAATATTTTCTTAGATTGTAATAATTTTTTGGAGATAACCCATAGTTGTGGGGAGAAGATGTGGATTCATACCTTTCCCGACAAAAGTATTTGTGCGTAATTGAATATATTATAAAGAACCCGATTTCAATTGGAATTCGGCTCTCCGATTTCCAATTCCGAGCCGTTTCCACCCCTCGCACATCCAAGCTTACAGCACCTGGTATTCCCAAGTGGTCACTCATATAGGTACTGACCGGGCTCGACGTTGCTTAACTTCGGTGTTTCAACGTGATATGGCCGGCCGTAAACCTAATTAAAATAATAATTTAAATTTTAAATTAACATTCTTTCTACTCAAATTGTAATTCGGTTCCAAATTTTTGCTGGTAGTTGTTGAGAAAACAAAATAGAAAATAGAGACGGTTGAAAGAGGACAGGACACTGAAGATAAAGTAAGGAAAATAAACATAAATGTGTTTTTTTTTTTTTTTAAATGATTTATCATGTGTGGACAGATTTGCCGATGTGACACCAGCTGTGATACTGTGAGATATGTCTTGCCGAAGAGCGCTCCGGACAAAAAAATCCATTGTTTTTTTTTTTTCTTTCTGAAACTTTTTTTTTTTTTTTTTACAGAAAGGTGGTTTTGATGGCGGGGGAGAGGGGATTCGTTTAAGATTGGGTGTGGACCATCCCACTTTGTATGTAGTAAATACCTACAACGGGGCGGCTCGACAATCATTGTTGTTAGTTAAAAAAATGTTTAGAAACTTTACTGATCAAAATGAGAGAATTCTTAATGCTCATAATCACCGGCAGTTTTTCAACTTTTATGATTGGCTTTGTTGTACATTACCAGCACCAGAGGAATAACACATCAAAGTCAGTATTTGTCAGACAAATGATGGTAAGTAAGTATTTTAAAAGCATTTTTAAAGCAATATTGTTTAGTTTCTGTTTACAGATCTTTACTTGCTTGCAACATAATCAACGCGTACACCTTTTAGAAAATTTATGGACCATTCATTTCAGAAAACATTGATAACTTTTTTGTGTTATTAAAGAGAGAGAGAGAGAAAAAAAAAAAAAATAAGAATAGGTTTTTGACGCTATTTCATAAAAAAAAAAATGACATTTTTTTTTTTTAAAGCAACAGTCCCAAATTTGACATTAACAGTGAAAAAAAAGTGAATGTGTCCTGTTTTCAGGCCTCTTTCTCCACGCACTGTTGCATTTTTGTTAAATGTCTTAGTACTTTTTTTTTTTAGTTTTCTTTTGTAACAAAATGTAGAATGTAGTGACAACACAAACAAAACAAAAGTTTTGTTTGTGTTGTCTCTCTACATTCGGGAGCTGACTTTGTTGAGTCTCTACCAGCTAGAAAAGTAAGCATTTAATTTTCTCAGATATTTTATTGGAAAACGACTTTAAAAATAATAGTGCAACTTAAGATAAGTTCAGAAGTTAAAAAAAAATCACTTTAAGTTTACTAAAACAAATTTATTAAAAAAATAAAAACCTTGTATTGTATGTTTATTACTCTACCTTATCAAAAATGTAATTTCCTTTTGTTAAAAAGGGAATATTTCTGCATGGGAACTTGTCAATTACCGACCGACTGAATGAATGATAAATTGAAATTGCCTGTTCTTACGCCTTTTTATCCCCTGTGAAAAAATTATAAACGGGCAATTTTTCCATATAATCTGCCGTCGTGTGTGCCAATAAACTCGGAATTTAAAATGTTTTGATTTTTTCAGCTTTGCCCCTCTAGGGACAAGGTACAAAAAAATTTTATAATTGCCGGTTGTGAAAGAAAGAACAAATATAAAATGCCATAAAACAAAAAGAAAAAAAGCAAAAGAAATCAGATAACACTACTGAACTCCCAGGTTGTTAGCAAAAAAAAGTTACTCTGGTATTTAAAAAAATTACAGATCTCATTAAACTCAAAATTGAGATTAAGAAAACCAGTAAAAAATATAAAATTACTAATAATGCAAATTAGAAATTGTTTTTATTTTACATTCGACATTTTTTATTTTATTTATTTTTTTTTTCTACAGTTACATCAGTCGATTTTTAGTCTATGAATCAAGTGAGGGGAAATATACATTGATTTGTTGTTTCTTTTTCTTTTTTTTCTAAAGAATTTTTGATGCCCACCTTAAAATCTGATTAAATAAAAATCCGTTATTAATTACATTAGGCTTCTAAAATTTAAAAAAATAAAAAATACTGTACTAATTAAGTATATAAAAAATATCTGGTATTAGGTTTCTACCTAACCCATTGACTTCTGTGTCTCTTAAGGTCGTACGTAGGCGATTATGGTTGTTCACAATTTCCTGTCTTTTGTAGCTCTTAATAAATTTTCTTTTTGTTATCTCTCCTAAACTTTGTTCCACCATACATTTATAGCTTAAGCTAACTAGGTACATTGTTTTCCTCTGTCCCTCTTGCCTTCAATCTGTCCTGTATCAAATTTTCCAAGCCCTCTTTCCTCATTATGTTCCATAGAAATTTCAATTATCTCTTTTTGATGTTAAGTATAAGTTTCCTTTTTGTTTCCATTTTCTCTAAAACTTTGTCTTTGGTCACATATTTACTTCATGGTATCCTCAACATCCTTCTGTAGAACCACATTTCTATTGCTTCTTTATCTGTGAGGAGATTGTTCAGCATTCAGTGCCATATAGGAAAACTGATATTACATAACTGTTCAGTGTTCAGTACTTTTTTCTTTGTTTCTAACAAAATTTTTCTATTTTTTAATACTCTGCTTAGCTTTTGAAATGCATCTTTGGCTATTCCCAATGCACCTTCGAATTTCAGTGTTACTCTTTCCGTCTTCTGTTAAATCATTTCCCAGATACTTAAATTGTTGTACTTGTTTGATTTTGTTATCTCCAATTTGTAATTTGCATTTTGGACTCTTCTTTTTGCTAACAAACATACATTCTGCCTTCTTGCAATTGATGTTTAGTCCTTTCTTCTCACTTTCCTTTACTACCTTCTGTTCAAATTGTCATCTGCATATCTTATGCTGTTAAGATTGTGGCTGCCAATAATGAATTCTGGTAAGACTTCAAATTCACTTAGAATCGCCTCACTGTATAGATTTAATAAATTTGGTAAGAAGACACATCTTTATCTTACACCCCTTTCTATTTTTGTAAATCTACTGAATTCATTGTCTATCCGTATGCAGGTGGTTTTCTACCAGTATAGGTTCTTGATTATTCTAATATCCTTCCCAAATATGTCAAGGTTACTAAGCACTTCCAACAGTTCTTTGTGATGTACTTTATCAAACACTTTTGCATAATCTATAAAACATTCTTCTGCATTTGTATTACTGTTTCTGATATCATTCTGAGTATAAATATTGTATTCTTTGTTCCAGTGTCTTTAACGAAGCCACACTGTTCTTCTGTTTTTGGTTTGATTCTGCCGCACACTCTAGTCATGAGAATTCAGATAAGTTTTGTTATGTGGCTCATTAGGCTGATTGTCTGATAGTTAACATTTGCACCCAGCTTCTTAGGTAGTGCTATGAAAATAGATCTACATAGGTTTTCTGGTATCTCACCAATTTTGGAGATTTCATTTATTATGTCTGTAATCTTGTCTATTCTGAAATCATCTAAGGCTGTCAGCATCTCTATTACAGTTCCATCTAGCCCTGCTGCTTTGTTTTTGTTCAATTTGGCCAGGCTTATTCCACTTCAGATTTTAACATTTTTGGTCCATTGATATTTCTGTGTATTGCTTGTTGTTCTCTGACATTGTGAAAGATTTCTCTGATATATTCATTCCCCCTCTGAAGTATTTTTTTCTTTTTCTAATATCAGCATTCTATCCTTGGATTTTATGCTTCCTATTGATGAGCATCTCTTTTGTATTTTTCTTTTATTTTTTTCTTATGCATATCTGCTTTATCTGTGATACTTATACTTTCTATTTCTTCACATTTTTTGGTGAACTGTTCCTTTTTAACTTGCTTGGATTTATTTCTAATATCTTTGTGCAGTGTCCTATATTCTGCTCAGTACATTGGCATTGATTTTGTTTCCTTTTTATCATGTAAAGGACTTTTTCTTTTTTTTTTTTTTTTTTTTTTTTTTTTTTTTTTTTTTTTTTTTTTTTTTTTTTTTTTTTTTTTTTTTTTTTTTTTTTTTTTTTTTTTTTTTTTTTTTTTTTTTTTTTTTTTTTTTTTTTTTTTTTTTTTTTTTCTTTTTTTTTTCTTGATCTGGATTGCTGATTTTATTAAGGCTTCTCCTAATATGTCCCATTTTAGTTTCCATCCTCATTTTGCATATGCTTTTCACACTGTCCATATATTTCTCCTTCATATTCAGACCATTCAAGAGTCTGTCATATTGCAATTTGGGTGCTGCTTTGCCCTCTTCAATTTCTATAGTTTCACTCTAAGTTTACATATCACTGGAAGATAGTCACTCCTACAGTCAAAACTTGATTATATTTTTTAATATAAAACTGCATTCTTAAATCTCTTATTCTTAGTTATATAGTCAATTTGGTTCTTCATTTCTCTTTCTGGGTTTAAACCAGGTGTTAGCTACTATCTGATCATTTGCTGTATACCATTGGACTAATTTTTCTCTATATTCATTACAAGTTCCTAGTCTGAATTTACCAACTATTTTACCATCTTTCTTGCCTACTCTGATATTCAGGTCTCTCAAGACAATTGTAATTTCTTGCAATTTGTATTGAGTCTTGGTGTTGTCTAGCATAGAGTAAAACTTTTCAATTTCTTCTATACTTTGTGCTGTTGGTGCATAAACAACTATGATTGATACATTGAAAGGCTTTCCTTCCAGTTTAATGACAAGAATTCTTTCAGGTAGTTGACCTTATCCCAGAACACATTTCTTCATGTCTTGATCTAATATCTATTCTACTCCTCTTTCATTTTTCTCTCTGCCTGCATGTATGATCCTGTGTTTGTAACTGACACAATTTCCATTGTTTGCCCACCTCGTTTCACATATGCCTAAAATATTAACATTTAACCTGTTTATTTCCTGCTTTATATTTTCTAACTGACCACATTGATTTAATGTTCTAATATTCCATGTCCCGAGAATTTATTTTTTCTTTGACGTAAACAGTTGCTGGATGATGGTCTAGTGGCACCTGTTGCTCATGTCTTTCCTTACTGAGCAAGGGATCAATTCCAAGGAGTTTAACCCCTTTTATGCCATATCCTTCCATCCTTTGGGATAATCAAAGTATATAATATCTTCAAATGCTTAAAGCCTTTTCCAGTCTTTACCCTAACAGTATGGAACTGGTTCACACAAATAGGTTGTTATTGTAAATCTAATATTTTTGATCTTCCCTAACTAAATGACATTTCTTCCTGTTTGTAACAATGACTTCCATATTGATTATATGAACAAAATCAGCAAATTGTTTTGTCATTCTTTTGTTTCTATAAAAATTTATATTATAAAAAAATGTCAAATTATATAAAGTATTAAGAAAATAATTATAAAAAGAAAGCCAGACTGAAACTACAATATTTGTGTTGTTTCTGAACCTCAGTTTGTAAAACTGAACTATTGTCTAAAAAGAAAACAATCTAGGAACTTAGCAACACCTGTGAAAAAGTCTTCCTTCTCAACTCTTTTTGACAATCAAATGTAGTGATGTAAGTAAATATTTTTTGATAATAATAGTTGTTTTTTTATGAGCCAAACAGAATTGTATTTAGAATCATTATCTTGCTTAAGTGTTTGACACACAAAGGAAAGTTTTATGCAGGCTTGTTTTATAATTTTGTATTCTGTATCATTATTATTTTTTGTCATTTGATAAATGTGAATTTCTTTCAAATTTCACATGGGGCAATAATTTGAGGGGGTCATAGGGTTCCCT